GAGGGGCCTCACGCTTTTTTTGTTGCAAGCTGACTCCTAACTGGCCACCATTCATTTGAAGTTGTAAATGCCTGGTCAGGGCTGGCCAGGTAGGCTAGGGGCCTTGGGTTACTAAAGAGAGAAGTAACTGGCTTCTAGGTCTTTAGGATTCCAGCAGTGCGGCCCGCGCCCATCTTAGTGTTCTGCCAAAGGGCCACCGTGTGAGGGGATGAATCATCCATCTTTGGCCCTCCCAAAGAGTGTGTGTCGACTGAGGTGCAAAGATGCTGAGCTCTGGTTCCCCACTTAAGGACACATCTTGGGATGTTTTTCGGAAGGTAACCTGGAGAGGAGGAACAGCGGCAAGCTTTTAGAGGACTGAGAGCGGGTCCAGGAGCCTGATGCCCCATCCTCCAAGGTCACTCCTTCCAGAGGCAACCCCCGCGGAGAATCTGTTGTTGTTTGTTTGTTTTCCCGGGGAGATTTTTATAGCCTAAATAAGCCCTGAGCAGATTACTCGCTAGGGACTGCAAAGGCGGAGACAGAGCACTGGAAGCCTGGATAAGCTCCGCATTAGCGCCGGGGCCTGCTCAGCTGGGAGATCCCAACGCAGCGGAGGCCCGGCAACAGGCGGGCCATTGGCAGGAGGCAAGATGCGGGCCTGTGATTGGCTCTTGGCACGCGCCGGATGAAAGGCTCTTTCCCTGCCCGGCGAGGCCGGGCTGAGCCACGGCCCTGCCCAGCTCACTTCCGGCGGCCCGCAATGGCCGGGGGTAGGGGAGGGGTCAGTCTCGGGTGCCCGGCCCTCCTGTGGGCACGCTGGGGAAGCACAGTTCTCCTCAAGTCCAGGCGTTCAGGCGAGGGGAGCGCCCAGAAAGCCGGGAGTGGAAACCTCGGCTGGGCTGGGCTCGAGGTCGTCCCTGCCGTCGGGGCAACCGTGCTAGACGGGACTGTCGCAGAACCCACAGGGCTCACCGGGGGGGAGGCAGAGGACGACGGGGCTGGAGGCCCTGACGGGGATGGGGAACAGAGCCCAGACTTGGACTAGGAAGACCCCTGAGTCCCAGCACCCGCCACTGCAGGCCTCATTCCGTTTTGCAATCAGGTGATAGTTCAGGGTCAGGCCAGTTAACGCTGTTGCTCCCGTGGCCTTTAGTGTTTGTGTGTGAGAGAGGGAGGGTCTAATTCTATAGTTGGGTTTTTGTTTTTGGAAACAGGCCTCGACTTCACCGAGATCCGCCTGCTTCTGCCTCCCGGAGTGCTGGGATTACAACCTGCAGTGTAATGCACAGTTGTGTGGCCATGGGTGACTTGGTTTCGAACTCACAGCACTCCCCCTGCCGCTGTCTTCGGAGATTACAGATGAATGTACTCCGGGGCCTGGCAAGGCTTGCTTTTTTGTTGGTTTTTTTTTGAGACCGGGTCTCTTGCAGCCCAGGCTAGTCTTAAATTTACGGAAGTTGGCTTTGAATTCCAGATCCTCCTATCAATACCTTACCTTTTGCACCTCATCTTCTCTCAGCAGCCCCTCCCTTTTAATTTTCTTTCCTTTTTCTTTTTCACGTAATCCAGGCTTGTCTTGAACCTAACCTTGCGGTTTTAAAAAAAGACCTTGTGTGGGTGTGTGCATACAGGCATATATATGCAGAGGCGGGGAGAGGGGGGGAGAGGGTGTTGGGGTATCTGCCATTGCTTTCTACCTGTTCCTGAGGCAGGGTCTTTTCCTGAACCTGGGATTGGGATTTCCTCATCTGAGCTGGAAGCCAGCAAGCACCCGTGGATGGCCCTGTGGCGCACAGGGACGTGGGTAAGGTATAGAGAGCACTCATGAGAAGGAAGCCCTGGCTCCAGCCCTCAACCTTGAACTGATCCTCCCGGACTGTAAGCCACCTGGTGTGTGCCATCCTGGGGTTGGCACGCAGGGCACTTACCAACTGACCTACAGCTATGTTCTGTTGTCTTACACCTACCCAGCTTCACCTTGTCCATGACCACTAGGCTGTCTTTGTCTCACGCCTTTGATCCCAGTGCTTAGGAGGCAAAGGCAGTGGTGTGGCTTGGGTTTCAGGCCAGCATGGTCTCTCCTTTTGGTTGTTTTGGTTTTTAGAGACAAACAACACTGTGTAGCCTTGGCTGTCCTGGAACTCACTCTGTAGACTAGGCTGGCCTTAAACTTAGAGATCCCCCTGCCTCTGCACACACACACACACACACACACACATACACACACACACACGGCCCCCAGCTCTTTTTCAGTCAGTACATCACAGACATCATGATAATAATGATAATAGCTCCTCTAGATTCTGCCCTGGCTGCAGGATATGGCATGCTGAGAATTTGGACATTTAGGATGACTAATATTCAAGGAGTTACCTAAAATGCTTATAGTCAGTTAGAACAGACTGGATTCTTCATGTGGGTGTTCCCAGCTGTTGCTGAATCTGTCTTGACTCTGGTTTTCTGATTTAGGGCCAGATTTTCACTTTTCCATTACCCGTCCCTTACTCCTCGGAGACTGAGAACTCAGCACTGAGGAGAGGTGGCAGTATTCTCAGCAGTCAGTGCTGCAGGAAGAGGCAGACAGCCTTCAACTGCAGGCCAAAGACTTTTGAGTATGGCCCTGGGTGTCCTGGAATTTACTCTGTAGACCAGGCTGGCCTCGAATTCACAAAGATCCACCTCCTTTGCCTCACCCAGCTTGCAGTCGTGTTTTTAAGAACCTGAGACAATCATAAGATCCTCTCCCCAAACTCCTACTATAGGTGAGGGCAGACTAAAGATGGGTTTTGATGTTTAAGAGCCCATCCAGGCCTGTCCATCATGGTGGGAAGGAATGTATCACCAAGGTGGTCAGATTCCCACGATGCAGATTCAGCATGAAGGCATCTCCCAGACATGTTTTCCTGCTCAGGGGTTCCTGTGAGTTTGGAGAGCTAGTTTCCTGGACCTTGTCTTTGGGCGCAAGACAACTGTAGACCAGCAGACTTACCTCACCAGGCCAAGCATGGACCCCTACCCTGAGGTCTGAGGTCAGAATCCTGGTGCTTTGCTGAGTGCCGGCAGCATCGGAAGCGGCGGGTGGTACCATGACAACATAGGTAATGGATCCTGCTGCTGAGGAGCAGGGCAAAGCTGGAAGACAACACAGTCTCCAGCCATTGGGCTGGGAATGGTAACCAGTATTTGGAACCTCAGAATTTGGGAGGTGGAGGCAGAATTAGGAATTTGAGGCCAGCCTGGACTACGTAAACGCCATCTCTGTCTTATACACAGGGTTTGATTTTGTGGGATGGAGATTGGTTGGGGTTTTTAAAAGACAGTACCTGAACATGCAGCCCTGCTGGCCATGAGCTCAGAAATCTGCCTGTCTCTGTCTGAGATTAGTAGCTGTGCCAACACCCAGCTCATAATCTTGTTTGGAGTCAAGGCCTTTCACTCAGCCTAGCAGTTCTCAACCTGTAGTTTGGGACCCCTTTGGGGTCAAGTATCAGATTTTTGTTATGGTTCATAATAGCAAAATTACAGTTATGAAGTAGCAATAAAACCAACTTCATGACAGGGTCATCACAACATGAGGAACTGTATTAAAGGGTTGCAGCATTAGGAGGTTGCGAACCATTCACAGCCCTGGATAGCTTTTCCTTGCCAAGTCCCTTTGTCTTGTGTGATGTGAACTGGCCCAGGCAGCCTTGCTCTGCCCACAGATATCCACAGGTCATGACACGGCCAAATTCATGGCCATTCAGCTTTAACTGCAGGAGAAAAAAATGACACCAGCCAGCTCAGCACCAAGCTGTCTGTCACACCTTGGGGTCCTCACTAGCCAACTCCCAGAAATAGAGACCAGTGTTATGGGAGGCCATTTCCCCAAGCTTACACCAAGGCCCAGACTGCCATTCTTGGCTGCTCAGGTCACCCTGTGAGTCAACACACTCAGCTGACCAGTGTCCAGGCCAACACACGTGGTAACCACGCTAAGAGTGGGGAAGATAGTGCTAGCAGGAAAGGTCCTACCACGATCTGAAGTTCTTGGATGGAGCTCTCCTTGGACGGGAAGGGGTCCCAGGCACACGGGTAGGTCACCCCCCAGGCGCCACTCGCCCACCCCTTGTCCATCACCTTCTCTGTATTGCCTTTTTGGTTTTTTTTTTTTTTTTGAGACAGGCTCTCCCTATGTTGGTCACACAGCCTGGCCTGAACTTGAGACCTTACCCCAAGGTCCAGGATGCTGCAATGTGCGTCTTGGTCAGCAGATTCTCTAAAAAAGCCAGAAGCAGAGGTGTAGGCCTGTAATGATCTTCAGTTCAAACAGCCCAAGTGACAGTGAACCTATCTAGCTTCCGCTGGCACTCGTCAACTCTTCAGGGCCATTCATCTCTCAAAGTGACACTGGAACTGCCGAGTCCAGAGGACCCAGCTAAGGGACTCTCAAGGTGATGGAATACCGCCCCATCGCTTTGTTTTTTTTTTGATTCTGGCCTTGAGTGTGCTAGGCTAGCACTCTACCCACTGAACTCGACATTAACTCCCAACTGCCCACTCACTTCTATCTATTATTTGTATTTCTCCTGGAAGGGTCTCATAGCCTGGGGATGTGGTATGTAGACTGGTCTAGCCTCTCCTCCCCAGGTGATGGGACCGAAAGGCATGTGCTACCACACTCATTTCTTGGGTTCCTGAGTCAACTGTCTCACTCTAGGCTAGCCCTGAATTTGTGATCCTCCTGCCTCAGATCCCCAAGCAGTGGGATGGCATCACCAAATGTAAAAGCACCACACCCAACTTGCTTTATCCACCTCTCCCCCAGCACCCGGGTGCTGGGAAATCAAACATAAATCCACCCACCTGCTAGACAAGAGCTCTAGCACGGAGCTACACCCGCCTTTCACTGCTATGTATTGTTGTGCCCCCACACCACCACCCAGGCTCATTTCTGACTGAGGGCGGAAGACACCTACTTCCAATCAAACTTTCAAAAACAAAGCAGTTAAACCCTATTAAATGAAGCTAGGTAGTGCTGACATCAGATCTGTAAGTTTATTTTGCTCAATGTACGACGGCTACATAATGACTCACATTCATGAATATTCCATCACTGAGGAAAACTGCTAAGAATGGTCCGTGTGCAAAATAATTCCTTAGCGAAACACGGAGTTGGGGGGGAAAATCACTTGATTAGACCTTAAAAATAGTTCACTGCATAACATGACAAGAAAGCACAGAGGCGCATTCAGAGAGCGTCCACGGCGTTCTCCTACGCTGCAATAGTTATAATTTCACCATGACAAACACCAGACATTAATAGTAAGCTAACACTGGTGTTTCTTTTGTCCCCTCCCCCCCCCAAAAAAATAGAACTGCATGTCACTATAGCAACATCCAAAACAAATCAATTTGTTACAATCACTATTTGGTAAAAGCAAAGTTTACCCCTGAAAGGAAAAAAATTAAATTAACAAAAAAAAAAAAGTTTAAAAAATTTTGAAGTCTTATGGTTTTTTTTTTGTCATAGGAATACATAACACCTACAGTGTAAGTTAATAAATGTCAAGCTACCGTATAGAAATACAACACCAGCATGCACAATACTGTATCAATAGGATGGAGGAGCAGCCGCGGCACTGGAGACAGCATCATAGGCAGGTGCGCTTCTCAACACTGACGGAGAGGAGAAGAAACCATCCAGGCTCAGACAGCAGGTCCCCGCTCTGCCCTCTTCAGCTCTACCCTCACATGATTTCTCTAGAACACAGCTAGGGTCAAGGCTGACATTTAAAGAGAAACTAGGGTTTGTAATTCCAGTAGGTCATTTCTAAACGGGACAAGGACACATGCTCACGTTGGACAGAGACAAACCAGGCGAAGCCCCACCGACCCCTCTGTCCATGGCTCTGGTGGCCAAGCTTCCTCCATGCTGTCCTTCCATCGGCCTCGGTTAGTGGGTACTTGCACACTAGCACGAGGAAAGGCATGCTAGCAGGACTGTGCAGAGGGATGGTTCCACTCTTCTATAGCCATCCTGTCACGTGCACTCACTTCCATGGGAGCTCGGTTTTGGTATGAGAGAACATGGCCTCTGAAGACGAATAAGCAAGTTTGGGGTGCTGCCATCTTGGGAACCCATACGACCATGGATCCTCCAAAAGACACGGAGTGCACACTCTGCGTGCGACAGGGCGTGTTTATGGATAGATTTATCCACAAAGAGAACCAGGGACCTAGGGCTGAGACTGACCATGTAGGACATAGCAGCATAGCTTCCTTCGGTGTCACGCGTGTAGTGACATTAAGAGAGAGGCGGCCACCCCCAACATCTATGTCTTCATTTGGAAAGGAAACACAGTGTAGCTTAGGTCAAACAGGAGGTGAGCATCTTGCTGCTGGACAGTCACCCTCCACTGAGCACGTGGGAAAGGAGTGCTGGGGCAGGAGGGGCGGCAGAAACAACTGGCTGAAGAACATGGCTCCCTGGGGGGATGTGGTCTCTTCCTAACGGCTAACCTGTTGGCTTAGCTGCTTCTACCTGTCGAGCCACACTTTGTTGATGACTGCCTACCTCCAACAATCCGACCCGATGGCCTTGAGGCGCCTGCGTGCCGCCAGCACAAAGTGCAGGGGAGACTCAAGTGCCGAGACACTGAGGAGGGAGCCCTGGCTGCCGGACAGCAGCAGAGTCTCTGAAAATACCAACGTGATAAATGACATACAGACCTGAATTTTCTCCATTTTCTGTGTGTGTGTTGCTATCTTTGTGACGGGCTTAAAGAGTAAAGAAAAAGAAAAAAGCTATCCCACAGCCACCTGCCAAGCACCCATCAACCAAAACCTAGAAGCAAGCTCTGACTCTCCCCACATAAGAGCCAATAAACAGCCAGACCAACCTGGATGCAGCAGGAAACAGATGCAAAACTGAAGTGACAAAGGAGAACTCAGAACCAATGGCTTGATGTCATGTATGGCTGTCATGGAGAAATACTGTAAACTAGAATTTAGTGTTAATACTGTCAACCCGCCAGACTTCCAAAAACAAAGGTTGTGCCTTCCACTCTGAGCCTGTACACTTGGGTAATTTAAACTATATACCTTCTCTGGTATACACCTTGGGGAAAAGAAAGAAAAAAGGGAAAAAAAAAAGGTACAGCCACAACAGAGAGAAGACAGCCACAGAACAGGAGATGAGAGCATGTGCACATAAGAATCCTTACTGGAACCACAGAACTCACTGAATGAGGGCCATCCATCTCTGCTTTTTCTTTTCATCTTATAACCCTACCTACCACCTAGCAATAAGTTAAACTAAAGGCAGACAGCTCCGCTTGCATGAGCCTGCACAGCAGTCTGGATGCCTGTGTGAGGCTGCTACTCCAATACCAGCACAGCTAGCCTGACTTTCCACTAGTGGTATTTTGGCAAAAATGTCAAAGAGGCGATCAAAGACAGGACAGTCGTGGGTTTCTCCCTGGGAAGGTCAGCCCTCCCTTTCCCCTCCCCCACCCGACCCCCAACTCATGGGAAAAAAATAAAGACTGCAGTAGTAGCATCAGCGTGCGCTGCCAGTCCACCTGGGGCCTTAGTTGTTGCCTTCACCGCCGTCGTCGTCTTGTTGGTCGCTTGTCCAGAGCGTTAGGTTGTCTCGGAGCAGCTGCATGATCAGAGTGGAGTCCTTGTAGGAGTCCTCGTTCAGAGTGTCGAGCTCGGCGATGGCATCGTCGAAGGCGGTCTTGGCCAAGTGGCACGCTTGCTCTGGGGCGTTCTGGATCTCATAGTAGAAAACGGAGTAGTTAAGCGCCAGGCCCAGCCGGATGGGGTGGGTGGGCTGCATGTGCTCCTTGCTGATCTCATGGGCTTCGCTGTAGGCCTTCTCAGAGGACTCCACCACGGTCGCCCGCTTCTCCCCGGTGGCTACTTCAGCCAGGTAGCGGTAATAGTCCCCTTTCATCTTCAGGTAGAACACCTTGCTCTCGTACTGGGTCTCACTGCAATTCTTGATCAGGTAGTTGTCCAGCAGGCTCAGCACATCCTGGCACACTGCCTCCAGCTCCTTCTCGATCTTCTCCCGGTAGGCTCGCACCATTTCGATCTTCTTCTCATTGCCATCTGCAGAGGTCTTCTGCTCGATGCTGCTGATGACCCTCCAGGATGAGCGGCGAGCCCCAACCACGTTCTTGTAGGCCACAGACAGGAGGTTCCGTTCCTCGTTGGACAGTGGTTCATTCAGCTCTGTCACCTGGAAGAGGAAGGATGGAGCACAGTTATGACACAGATGACGTTACCATACCCTTCCACCATCCTACGACAGGTCAATCAGCTACCGAGGCAGTTGGTAGGCAGATAAACAGGCTATGCTCTGTGCGGCGGAAGAGAAGTGACCAAAAAGGGGGAGAAACACAGATGTTTTCCACAGTGACAAGCATCACTCTGCCACAGAGGACCTGTGAGTCCAGGTCTTAGATGACAAGTCCAATGCCCCACAGTGCTCGAATGGAACATGGAACACAGCAGTCTTAGCGCGAGATGGCTATGTACAGAGCCAGGAGTTCTCAGGAAGGGAGCAGGCTTCCTCAGCCTGCCCTGTTCCCTTATTCCTAGTCCCTCTGGGAAAGAGTGAGTCACCGTCAAGTTGACTTTTAAGAAATAAGGAAGTTTTTCTACCCCCATGCTAACACCAAATGAATGACACACTACAGAAAGAAAGTTGACACTGGGTTACTGGGCCAGGCAAGATGGCTCAGAGGGGGACATTGCCTACTGTCAAGCCTCGCAGCATGGTCTTGACCCTAGGATACATTGTGGCGAGATCTGGTTCCCAAGTTGTCCTCTGACCTCCATATGCCATACAAATGCACTCCCCATACACAGTGCATCACACACAAAAATAGATGAATCAATGAACTTCAAACTGGGACTGGAGAAGCCAGGGGGTTGGTGTGCATACCTATAATCTCAGCACTTGGGAGGCAGTGTCATGTGGATCTCTGTGAGTTCAAGGCCAGCCTGATCTACAGAGCTAGTTCCAGTACAGCCAGTGCTACAAAAAAAAAAAGCCAACCAAACACACACACACACACACACACACACACACACACACAAAACAAACAAACCCTGTCTTGAATCTTGGGGAAAAGGGGGTAGGGGAAAAGGAAGATGGTTCAGTGGTTAAAAACACTGACTGGCTGCTCTTCCAGAGGACCTGGGGTTCAATTCCTAGCACCCACATGGTGGCTCAACCATCTGTAACTACAACTGTAAGGGGTCTAACGCCCTCCTCTGGTCTCTGCAGGTACCGGGCACAGACACATGTAGGCAAAGCATCCATACAAATAAAAATCTGAGTTTGAGGCCAGTCTAGCCTACATAGTAAGCTAAAGGATGGTCAGAGCTAGAGAAGAAGAGGAGAAGAAATAATGCAAGATAAGATTCTGACAAGTGTGACAAGTGTGTACTCTTAGCAGACTGGGAAAATAGACAATGATGTCTGGTGGCTACAACAGCTCTCAGGGCTGGAGCTGGAGCTAAGTAGGGTTCAACTTGCATCACTGGAAAAAAAAAAAAAAGGACAAGTGTGGAAGCCACTTGAACTGGTTATCCATCCATCCATCATCCATGCATCCAGCCATCAGTGCTGGAGACGGAACCCAGGGTCTCACATGCACTGCACTGTGCCCTGAGCTCCGTATCTGAAGCTGACCGCTGACCATCTTCAATTCCAGTGCAAGGCAAGATGGTCTGCCAGGCTGGTTCTGCCAGGATTCAGAGCTTTCTGCTGTTAAGTATCACCATCCTGTGCCAACACCTTCCCTGCATGGACACAGGCTTATATCACCTCGGTTAGATCATAACACATGAACAAAAGCAGTGTCTCTCCTCACTCCTCTCAGGAAGTCAGGGAAGGGCCATGGAGGCAGAGGCCATGCAGAAGGAGCCCTGTTTGCTGACCTGTTCTGCACAGTGTGCTCAGCCTGCTTTCCTGTATCACCCAAGACCGCCTGCCCAAGTCACTGCCACCCACAGTGCGCTGGGCCTCACCCCCTCCCATCCATCACTAACCAAGAAAACACTCCCACAGCCTTGCCCACAGATACCTCTAGCTTGTGTCAAGTTGATAAAAAACAGAAACAGTAAAACCCCAAACCAGACAGGTCACCTGGCCTTGCATCCACAGTCCTCTCCATGATGGGTGGACTATAAGCATAGGATACCTTGCCTAACTCCTTTTGGGTTCTGAGGGCTTTCAGTCAGTACAAACTCCCAGAAGACAGAAGTTATTGAGTGATCTTAGGAGCAGCTGTTCCAATGCTCTGGGCTCTGACTGCTGCCCCTGTGTGGCCATTCTATTTTAGAAGTACTTGGGACCAAACCTAGGGCCTCTGCCAGGCCAGCCCTCTACCCACTGAGCTATATTCCAACTGACTATTATGCTGATAAAAAAGCAAATTTCTCCATGTTCATGGGCTATTCTTAGGTGTTTGAGAAAAGTGCTGTTTTTGTTTTGTTGAGAAACATAGCCCTGGCTGACATAGAACTTGTCCACCTGCCTCTGGCTCTAGCATGGTGAGAAAAAAGGTGTTTAGGGCTTAAAGCACTCTCGGCGCAGCATGTGATAAAGGTATGGGAAGCCACCTGGAAGCCTTGAACAGTCTTCACTCAGCACCAGCATTGCCCATGCAGCCCTATGGGCAACCACCTCCATGGTTGCATTTTTGGGTGGAGTGTCTCTTTGACCTGACCCTCCTTGACTCTTTATATTCCTTCCACGGACCCCAACAGCAGCCCACAGAGATCTAGCTCCTCAGATGGCCAGATCCTGCCTGTCCCAGCATCTCTGCTGAAACTGAAGCCCTGCTGTGGTGCAGCCCAACCACAGGCTCAGATGCCAGAAGAGCTCAAGTGCCTAAGGCCACGGAGATCCAGTTCTGGCCTTTGCCCTAAATCATGCTGTCCTTATTTCAAGAGCGCTATTTAAAGGTCCAGTGACCTCATCAGCAAGCACACTAACCCGCTGGCTCTGCTCTGGCTACAGAGCCCTAAAGCAACAGCAGACACTTATGGAGGAAGTTTGTTTCCTTGCCGCCAACTGCAACATGGAGGTTGTGCAAGGCCAATGGCAACCTTTAGCTAGAGTAACTCAGCCGCATCTGGAACATTCTCCATGTTCTCTGCCAATGAAAACCAAGGGAGAGGGAAGCCTTCAGGATGAAAGACAGAATGTTCAAGGCCTGCCTGAGCTACAGAGTAGATTAAAAACCAGCCTGGGAAACCTGGAGGGACCCTGTCTCAAAATAAAAAGTACTGAGCACTGGGGACTGGACTCAGTGGGGGAAAGTGCTTAGTTAGCACCCCAGTACCAAAACAAACCACTGTTTTCCACCATCAGCAAGCAACTTAAGTCGGCAATCCCAATACTTGGGAAGCAGAGAGAGTTGAATTTCTGTGAGTTCAAGACCAGGCTGACCTAGAGTGACTACAGGACAGTCAGGGCCACACACACAAACCTGGCTCAAAAAACAGAACAATCTTAAGTCAACTGGACATGGTATTGTGTACCTTTCATTCCAGAACTCAGGAGGCAGAGGCAGGCAGATATCTGATTTTGAGGCCAACCTGGTCTATAGACAGAGTTTCTGGACAGCCAGGGATACAGAGAAACCCTGACTCAAACAAAAACAAAACAAACAAAACTTAAGTCAGCAGGTGTGGTCATATGGAGTGGCAGGGGGATCTCTGTGACCAGCATGATTTATTCTATTTTATTTTTTAAGATTTATTTATTATGTGTACAGTGTTCTGCCTACATGCCACAAGGGGGCGCCAGATCTCACTGTAGATTGTGAGCCACATGTAGTTTGTGAGCCACCATGTGGTTGCTGGGAATTGAACTCGGGACCTCTGGAAGAGCAGCCAGTGCTCTTGATCTCTGAGCCATCTCTCCAGCCCCCCAGCTTGGTTTATAAATCAAGTTCCAGGATATCCGAGCCACAGAGCAAGGCAGCTTAAAGTCAGCAGGGCAGACAGTTCTGCAGCCAAAAGCTGTCCTTCAGAACTGCGCACTCTGCTTTCAAACAGCTAGACAGTGCCGGTAGAGCAGACACCAGAGTGCTGGCCTAGAAGCGGGGAGAGATGCTGGCTTTAACCTGCAGCACGGTGGGGGGCACCTTTCTCTCCTAACTCAAGTTGAAGTTTCTATCCACGACTGAAAGATGCCAGGATTGGGAATCTGTGATTGTCACATATGTCAGAGGTAAAACTCCCTAAATGGCAGCTGCCAGAAAGCGGTCAGACACTAGCAGTGTCACCTGTTCTCCCCTCTCATTGAGCAAAACCTCTTTCCTGACATTACAGCCAGGAGATCCTCAGCAGGCTACCTGGGTGACTGTGACCCTGGAGCACTGGGTCATTCACAACACATCTGGAATGCCAACACTCAGGGAGAAGACTGGGCCAGTCTGGGCCACCAATCTAGCTCTAGGCCAAGCAATGTGACACTGTCCCAAACAGCCAAGAATACGGGCAGCCATAGTGGCCTGTGCCTTTAATCCCAGTACCCAGGAAGCTGAGGCAAGAGTATCTATGGGAATGAGGCTAGCTTGCTCTACCTAGTGAGACACACATACTCTCAAAACACATGAAATTTCCATAGGAGAAGATCTTGAGACTCTTGCCTATACTCCCAACATCCTGCTGAGCAAACTTCTTACTCTTAAAAAAAATGGTTTATCTATTTTTCTTTTCAATGTGCATTGGTGCTTTGCATGTCATGTGAGTATGTCATTGAACCTGGGTCCTCTGGAAGAGCAATCAGTATTCTTAAGGGCTAAGCCATCTCTCTAGCCCTACAAATTCTTATTCTTTTAAAAAGGCTTTTTGTTTGTTTGTTTTTATTTTTCAAGACAGGTTTCTCTGTGCACCCTTGGCTATCCTGGATAGCTATCCTGGCTAGTGCCACCTTGCCCAGTGGAGGTAAGTTTTCAATATGCTGTCCAGGCAGGCCTCCAGCTTCTGTCTCAGCTTCTTGGTTAGCTGGGATTACAAAAGCACACCACCATACCTGGTTCATGTTTGTTTTATAAATATCAGTGTATTTTGCCTAGTCCAAGCAGCAAGGACTTGAAGTTAAGATCCCACATGAAAAAAAGATGTCAAAGATGATTTGGAATTTTGTTTAAAATGTTTCCCGCAGGACACTGATAGTGCACGCCTAGAGCCTCCACATTCAGGAGGCTGAGGGAA